TAGATGTGTCTGCAGTGAGTGTGGTGCTGAGGGATGGGGTGGGGGGGTTAAAAAAAAAATCAGAGAATTTGCAATTTTTTAAAATCGGGGAAAACCAGGATCCCTGGTCATAAGTTAATATGAAATCTGGAAGATGAAAACATTAGGAACATCAAAAGCAACTCACCTCAAAAGGGAGAAAGTTGATGTAAGGGGGAGTTAACACTTATTATGGGACTTGCTATTGATCTGATTAGCCTAAGTTTCCTTCTACAGCTTTGAATACATTCTAAGGTAAGAAGTAGGATGTACATTATCAGTGAAAGGTCTCTTACATTTACTAAATGGTGGGGGTGTTCATAATCCATGTGTGTCCTGGAAAGGGAGTTGGTGTGCCCTGGGTAAAGTCCAGCTCCTCCATTCATGATCCCATTAACTCCATTAGAAACCTTATGATGGATGTGTGGACAGCCATTATTGAGGCTACCGTTGCCAATGAAGTTTCCACGTATGCTGCCATTGACACGACTTGTGCCTGGTAACGTAGTATACTCATTCATTTGCCCATTCATATCTGCCCCTTGGTAGAGGTAACTAGGAGGGTCATACTCTGTGAAGGGAGATACAGTGACAATTAGAATACATTGTTAGCAAAATGTTGCTACATATTTAGTATAAGATAATCAAATAAAAAAATAATTCTTTATTACAAGCAAAGTTGGAGGAGCATTTCAGGGACAAAGTAAAACCATAAACCCCTTTCCAGGTTCTCTATTACCCCCCAACCTGTAGTACTTAATTGTTTATTATCACTGAAGATTCTGATCACTAAAAATAGTATTTTAAAATAGAATCATTTGCTTGATCAACAGGTGCATAGTGGAGACTGTTTAGCTTACTCTGTCTAACGTTTCACACAAAACAAATCTGGAGTAAATTAAAACAAAACCAAAAAACCCCTTCTGCCTTATTCTACAAGAAGGTTTGTCCAAGTTTGAGTTGTTGAAGGGAATTAAGAACCACATTTAAAAATAACTGCAAACTGTAGAAACAAAGCTAGTTAATGTACCAGAAAAGAGGTAATAATTTAATGTATGATTCAGATAGATCAGAGTATTTTTCTGGGAACAGAATTTCATCTTATCCATGCAGCACTTTACAGGAGTCAAGTATTTGAAAGTACTTTACAAATGTTCCTAGTTGGGAACTGGCAGGTTTTGCTTATTAACTGCCCTCCCACAGCTTTAGAGATCAAACACAATTTTGCTGGCATGGAGAATACTGGCCAACACCATGGTTATCCTTTGGGGGGGGGGGGGTTTTTTTTTCCTTTTTTTTTTTTTTTTTTTTTTTTTTTTTA